TGGCCAGGGCTGTGTTCAGCTTGAGCTGGCTCTGTCCCTGATCTGCCTAATTGACAGTCTTAGCCAATCCAATGCTTTCCTATGTGAAAGCATCGTGATTGGCTCAGAACGCCACTTCTGATGCTGTCAGCCAAGATAGCAGATCAGGGGCAGAGCCAACAGCAGACTGAAGTAAAGGTAACATTTTACTATATATAGGGGGTAAAGGGGGACCAGATGGTGGATTTAACACTATAGGGTCTGGAATATATCTTTGTGTTCCTGACCCTATGGTGTTCCTTTAACAATAAATGAGATAATTACAAAATGGTACAGAAACAACAGGTAGACGAGGACCCTGCTCAAATGAACTGAGAGTGTTCATAAATGAAATCCTTCAAATGTATCTATCAATTTAAAGTGCAATAATCTACCTCTAATTTTGAGAAACCAGAGGTTGGTGGGGTTACTGTTATACGGTAATGCCACACACATCAACGTTAGGCAGCCGTGATATGCCTGTTGAGGTATTTAGCAATTTAGCAAGACTGCCTAAAGATCTTGGCAAATTACTGATTCTTCCTCTAGCAAATTACAATGTCTGGCTGTGCGTTGAATTAGAGCTTCCCTGTGCGATCTGCCCATTGAAAGAACAGGCATGTCATGTAATCTATATATGCCTTGTATGGAATGTTAAACTGCATTGCCAGATACACTGGGGCGCCACAATTACTTTCTGAGAGAATATGATTGTCAAATGTAGAAAACCTATATTAATGTGATACGTGAATGCATCAGCAGCCAATATTTGTAATTACACACACATTGACAAAAAGATGTTCTGCTGCTTTGCCTTTTTTTCTATGGATGTTTGAAAGCAAGATTACAGTATGCAGAAAATTAACATTGTACTTAATGCCTTCCAGCCTATTTATTACTATTATTATTATTATTATTATTATTATTATTTGTGTTGTTCTGTATGCTAGAACTGCATTCTCTTTTTAATATATCCCTGTCATGGGGAGGATCTTTTCTTGAAATTGAAGGCTGTTATTAGTTTTTTTTAGGATGTGAAAATAACATGATAATGTTAAGAATTTACATTACCCAGGATAAAATAGAGGGGATATCTGTTATTATTATTATTATGGTATTATTTATATAGCGCCAACAAATACCGCAGCGCTTTACAGTGGGTGGACAAACTGACATGTAGTTGTAACCAGACAAGTTGGACACACAGGAACAGAGGGAGTGAGGTCCTGCTCAATGAGTTTACATGCTAGAGGGAGTGGGGTATAGTGACACAGTAACAGAGGGATTGAGGGCCTGCTCAGTGAGTTTACATGTTAGAGGGAGTGGGGTATAGTGACACAGTAACAGAGGGATTGAGGGCCTGCTCAGTGACTTTACATGTTAGAGGGAGTGGGGTATAGTGACAGTAACAGAGGGATTGAGGGCCTGCTCAGTGAGTTTACATGTTAGAGGGAGTGGGGTATAGTGACACAGTAACAGAGGGATTGAGGGCCCTGCTCAGTGAGTTTACATGTTAGAGGGAGTGGGGTATAGTGACACAGTAACAGAGGGATTGAGGGCCTGCTCAGTGACTTTACATGTGAGGGGTGGGGTATAGTGACAGTAACAGAGGGATTAGAGCCCTGCTCAGTGAGTTTACATGTTAGAGGGAGTGGGGTATAGTGACACAGTAACAGAGGGATTGAGGGCCTGCTCAGTGAGTTTACATGTTAGAGGGAGTGGGGTATAGTGACACAGTAACAGAGGGATTGAGGTCCCGCTCAGTGAGGTTACATGTTAGAGGGAGTGGGGTATAGTGACACAGTAACAGAGGGATTGAGCCCCTGCTCAGTGAGTTTACATGTTAGAGGGAGTGGGGTATAGTGACAGTAACAGAGGGATTGAGGGCCCTGCTCAGTGAGTTAACATGTTAGAGGGAGTGGGGTATAGTGACACAGTAACAGAGGGATTGAGGGCCTGCTCAGTGAGTTTACATGTTAGAGGGAGTGGGGTATAGTGACACGGTAACAGAGGGGTTGAGGGCCCTGCTCAGTGAGCTTACATGTTAGAGGGAGTGGGGTATAGTGACACAGTAACAGAGGGATTGAGGTCCTGCTCTGTGAGTTTACATGTTAGAGGGAGTGGGGTATAGTGACACAGTAACAGAGGGATTGAGGGCCTGCTCAGTGAGTTTACATGTTAGAGGGAGTGGGTATAGTGACACAGTAACAGAGGGATTGAGGGCCCTGCTCAGTGAGTTTACATGCTAGAGGGAGTGGGGTATAGTGACAGTAAGAGAGGGATTGAGGGCCCTGCTCAGTGAGTTTACATGTGAGAGGGAGTGGGGTATAGTGACACAGTAACAGAGGGATTGAGGGCCCTGCCCAGTGAGCTTACATGTTAGAGGGAGTGGGGTATAGTGACACAGTAACAGAGGGATTGAGGGCCCTGCTCAGTGAGTTTGCATGTTAGAGGGAGTGGGGTATAGTGACACAGTAACAGAGGGATTGGGGGTCTGCTCAGTGAGTTTACATGTTAGAGGGAGTGGGGTATAGTGACACAGTAACAGAGGGATTGAGGGCCCTGCTCAGTGAGTTTACATGTTAGAGGGAGTGGGGTATAGTGACACAGTAACAGAGGGATTAAGGCCCTGCTCAGTGAGGTTACATGTTAGAGGGAGTGCGGTATAGTGACACAGTAACAGAGGGATTGAGGGCCTGCTCAGTGAGTTTACATGTTAGAGGGAGTGGGGTATAGTGACACAGTAACAGAGGGATTGAGAGCCCTGCTCAGTGAGTTTACATGCTACAGGGAGTGGGGTATAGTGACACAGTAACAGAGGGATTGAGGCCCTGCTCAGTGAGTTTACATGCTAGAGGGAGTGGGGTATAGTGACACAGTAACAGAGGGATTGAGGGCCCTGCTCAGTAAGTTTACATGTTAGAGGGAGTGGGGTATAGTGACACAGTAACAGAAGGATTGAGGCCCTGCTCAGTGAGCTTACATGTTAGAGGGAGTGGGGTATAGTGACACAGTAACAGAGGGATTGAGGGCCTGCTCAGTGAGTTTACATGTTAGAGGGAGTGGGGTATAGTGACACAGTAACAGAGGGATTGAGGGCCCTGCTCAGTGAGGTTACATGCTAGAGGGAGTGGGGTAGAGTGACACAGTAACAGAGGGATTGAGGGCCCTGCTCAGTGAGTTTACATGTTAGAGGCATTGGGGTATAGTGACACAGTAACAGAGGGATTGAGGGCCTACTCAGTGAGTTTACATGTTAGAGGCATTGGGGTATAGTGACACAGTAACAGAGGGATTGAGGGCCTACTCAGTGAGTTTACATGTTAGAGGTAATGGGGTATAGTGACACAGTAACAGAGGGATTGAGGGCCCTGCTCAGTGAGGTTACATGCTAGAGGGAGTGGGGTATAGTGACACAGTAACAGAGGGATTGAGGGCCCTGCTCAGTGAGTTTACATGTTAGAGGGAGTGGGGTATAGTGACACAGTAACAGAGGGATTGAGGGCCCTGCTCAGTGAGTTTACATGCTAGAGGGAGGGGGGTATAGTGACACAGTAACAGAGGGATTGAGGCCCTGCTCAGTGAGTTTACATGTTAGAGGGAGTGGGGTATAGTGACAGTAACAGAGGGATTGAGGCCCTGCTCAGTGAGTTTACATGTTAGAGGGTGTGGGGTATAGTGACACAGTAACAGAGGGATTGAGAGCCTGCTCAGTGAGTTTACATGTTAGAGGGAGTGGAGTATAGTGACACAGTAACAGAGGGATTGAGGGCCCTGCTCAGTGAGTTTACATGTTAGAGGCAGTGGGGTATAGTGACACAGTGACAGAGGGATTGAGGGCCTGCTCAGTGAGTTTACATGTTAGAGGGAGTGGGGTATAGTGCCACAAAAAGATAAGGATAGTATTAGACTAATGACAGTTGCAAGAGAGGAATCAGTCGGGAACTATTAACCATTTAATTGATACGCTTTTATGAAGAAGTCGGTTTTTAATGATTTTTTTGAAGGAGTGGAGACTGGGTGAGCATCTAACGGGGGAGGGAAGCGAGTTAAATCTGTTAAATTGAATCTGTCAGAAAATCTTCACATTAGTCAACAGTGTATAAAATGGTCTACATTTTGTTATTTTATTTTTTATAAATAGTTTTTAGCCAATTGGAATTTTTAGAAATTTTTCCCCAGAATGTAAGGAAAACTGTCAGCTTATTATTTGATGAATTTGAAAAGTTATACTGCGTATCTCCTTGTAGGTAGATTGTCCACTAATGATTCCTATTGATGAGTTAATGTTTTTGACAAGTTATTGGTCTACACCCAGATAAGAAGCAAACCATGTGTGATCATGTGTGATCCTTGGAAATGCACGCTGCCCTAGCTGCTCAAATGCTATAATTGCTGTGTGAATGCATGATGGCCTGGTCAAGGAGAGTGGTCTTGGGTTGGATATCACTGATTCTGACCCTAGATCACCGAAAAAGGATGCTCACACAGGGAGAAGGAAGGTGGCAGAAGCATCATCTCTTCAATCCCCAAAGGAACCATTGCCAGATAACTGACCTTCCAACAAGTAAGAAGTATTAATTTTTTCAAATACATAAATTACAATAATAATAGTTATAATAATTTGGCAGTTTGGCTAGAAGGCATTGTGTTTTACTGGGTAAAACGATTAATAAACATTCTCCTCTCTGTTTTTATGTACTTAGCCTGTTGTGGAATTCACTTGCAAGAAAGCCAAATTGAAGAAAGTACAAAATGCCATTGAAAACAAAAACCTTGAGTACAATGCAAACACAAATTAAAGTGTATTTTATTTTTTAATTTTTTTAAAAAGGTTTTATGTTTTCATAGACTTCTAACCAAAGGTAACACAATTGCAGATCCCGTTCCTTTTCCTACGTTTAAATCATATTTCCTGGCATTCGGTGACCCATCTTATCTCGATTATGCTCTCACACTTCATCTTTTTACATCTATAAGCAGTAAATTGGGAGGTGGAATGTCTTACCATAAATATCTCAAAAACTGTTCAAACTTTTTGATAACCACCTATAGTAACAGACAAATTTAAAGGACCACTGAAGTCATCCAGGCCACTTGACATGAATGCAGTGGTCTGGGTGCAGGGACCCTGTAGTTTTAATCACTTAATGTTTTGTATGAACTTCAATGCTTAAATTGAAGAGTTAAACACACCTCGAGTGGCTGTCATGCTGAGAAACATTAGTGTGAAACACAGTCATGCGACCAATACAATTCGATTTGATTGGATGCGAGTGTTCTCTTTGAGAAGCACTGAATTGGACGACTTGGATGTGGACCAGCACTGGCACAGAGGGAGTAAAGGGGGCACTAATCTAACTTGAAACAGGGTTATCATAACTTTGGGAAGACAGGTTTGTATTCCAAACGCTAAAGTGTTCCTTTATTTTTTTCTTTTAATAAAAATCATGTTCTAATGTACCTTTAAATGAAGACGCTGTACTGACTCTGAGTTGTCAAGTTAAATATCAAGAAAAAAGTCCTACTGAAACCACTGGGGGATTTTAAGGAAGAATTGGACAGGTACCTATAAGCTTCATATTTTGAACAGCAAATAACCTTAACATTAACAACATAAACTCATATAATGCAACTGAGGCCTCAAAAACAGTAGATGTTTCAGCAAGTTGTTCTCCTATATAATAAAAAGTACTTTACTGTAGCTAAACCACAATATTTTCAGCCCCGGGGTCTCATTTCTAAAAATACAAAATGACAATACTTTCAGAAGGTTTCTCATCAATACAGAAAATGAACAACAAATAAAGAATGATATATTTCCGCAACATTGCCTTTGGCTGTGTGTTTGAGAAATTAAAGGAACATGCACCACCAAATGTCCCTTTGGATCAGGAAAATATATTATAGTCAGAGGCAAGGAATTGTACGGGCACAGTGTACAAAAAATGAAGCAATTTCGACTGTTTGGGCCCCCTTTTAGTATTAGTATTCAGGATGAACTACCAACATAATATGTTGTGCTCCTGAAATATGAAGAAGGGGAATAAGATCTCAGGAATCCATCTTTATTTTATGAAGCATAATACGGAGGAATTTTATAGAAATGGGATAAAATATATACCGTGCACTAGTCAAATTTCTACATTCTGCAAAATGAGTTCTTAGATTCTAGCAAGTTAAATCTCTGGTTCCATGCGTCCTTCAGTTATGGTGGATAGCACTTACCGTACCACCGGGAGAGGAGCTAATTATAAAGATGTTAAATGATTGAGTAACACGATTTTGATATAACTGTAGATATTATTGAAGCCTAAAAAACTCTTGATTTCAGAAGAACTCAGCAACTCTCTAAATATGTAAAAGATATGTTACCATGCTATTATTATTATTTTAAATTCTAAAGATTATTTAAAAAATAATTCTTAATCTCTGGTTGCCATCTAATGGTTCATATAGTACGAGGTTCTCTCTTGTTTCCTCCAGCTGGAGGCTTTCCAAGTGCTAGAGAGGCCACAAACTCATTGTATCATGTAAATGATTGATCTAATTATTTCTATACTCTAAGGTTAGATAACGAAGATTCAGTTTTCATGTCACTTGTCTGTTATCATGAGCCCTTTCCTTGCTGTCCATTAATGAACTTTCCTGGCAGGTAATATTCATTGGTGTGTATTATTTTTATCATGAATTGAAACCCACTCGTTGAGGTATTAAAAACAAAAAAAAAAGTCCTGGCCGCAAACTAGCCTTACAGTTTCTGTTTCCTGCTTTAACCTGAGTGCCAGGAGAGTTTGTGCAGTGCTGAGTTCACTTTGTTATGTATTTCAGTTGATTATTGCTGAAATGTGTTAACAGTGCGGCAGTAATGTGTGAGCAAATCACCAGAAAGAGGTTTTAAAAAAAACAAAAAAACTTAAAGCATCTGGTAGCGCAGAGGACGTGTAATTCTTTTGTATACATATCTTACTTAGGAAAGAGTGGAAAGAGAGGCTCAAGTATATATTTATTTACACACATTCACAGATAGATACACAAACACAGACACACAAAGGCACAGACATAGACAAATGCACAAACAAGCACCCACATGCATACAAACACACTCACAAATGCGCTCACTATATAAAAAAAAAGGTTCTAATGCTGGTAGCCGATGCTGGTGGGGGGAAGGTAGGCAACAGCGACCATTAAGTATTTGATTATGTGCCCCATTTGTTTCATGCAGCTCAACCTGCCCGGTCGGTGTTTTAGATGGCAGTGTAAGGACAATGATTGAGGTGTGGGATATGACATCATATTCCCGTTGTCTCTGTTTAAACTGTGCTGCCCAGATATGACCGGAATCTCTTTGGCACCACAGGCAACCCCAAAAGCTAAATTGCTATTTGTATACTGCTCTGTGCTGCCTATCCGGACCCAGTCTGCTCCCAGCCGAAACTGGCAGAGAAAACTGTGCATGGATTGCAGCACAGAACTAGCGATCCCGGCCTCCAGGCTGCCTGTTGGGGCAAAGAAATTTAGGTCTAAAGAGCCTCCAATGTGGATATCATTTGACAATAAAAAGGTCCGGAAACGGGGAATCATTTGGGTAAATTAATATATATATATATATATATTTATACATTATAATATAATATAAAAAATAATAATTTTAAAGGTTTATCCAAAAATATAAAATTATTTGAAAAGCGTATCTAAAAATATTGAATCAGGTTCAATGGCAGGATTCTTGGCTACTTTTGAAAAATAAAAAGAGCTTTGTTTTCTGCGTATAGACCTCTCAGAAACACTTTTTTCTGGTTTAACAGTATTTATGGTATTTGCTAGCAAATTTTAAAGTGGTTATATCCCACATATATCTCTACGTTTATAGCGTGGATCAGGATTCAGGACAGAGTGGACCAGGGTAGAGTGTAGCAC